TTAAATATTTAATTCAATCAAATAATATTTATTAGAGTCAATTAAATGGTAATTGCTTCGAATACTGACATTATTGGTTCAAATACCATTTAATTGACTCTAATAAATAATATTATTTAATTCAAGTAAATATTTACTTGATAATAGTCAATTAACCGGTTATTTGAATCAAATAAATTTTTTTTCAGTGTAAGAAATTAAATTTTTTAACAAGTGGATTTTTTATATTCTTATTATTGTTAAATTATTCAAAAATTTAAAAAGAAAAAATTTGTTAATTTGCTTGATAACAGTTTTCTGTATTTTGTTCTTTGGGATATTTTTTTTCTGGTTTTTGGATTAAAAAAAATGACCGAAAGTATAAAATATTAAAAATTTTTAATTGATTTCCCGGTAATTGAAATTAAATTGAATTAATTAAAAAAAATATTTTTTCTTTGAAATTCTTTTATTTCGCACTATTCGATTTTGAACAAATTTATATTCCCTGAGAAGAGAAAAATGTCTTCTCTTCTTTTTTTTCGTTCTTGGAGAAAACAATAAAGGAAAATTCCTCCAAAGAAGTCTGACGACTTTTTATTGTAATGATATCCTAAAAGATCCATATACGTTTCGATGGATAAAACGAAGTAAATTGCATCAATTTGTGAGAACCCACATTCCAAGCACACACATGGAGAGAAAGAGAATTGAACATGACTGTAATGGGCATCATATGTCAGTGCGGATATCGACGATAAAATCACGGTTGTCAATAGATTCGCGAATTACTGGCCTAAAGCGAATCACGAAAATTACGAGCGTATCACTGTAATCATTACTTGAGCTATAGGTACTATATGTACATAGCAAAATTCTTGATATATATACATATATATAGTTCTCACATTGTTCAAAGAACAAAACTTTCGGGTGGATTTGAGAGTCAAGCCGTAATTAGTCCCCTCTGGTATATTTATGCTCCTGTGATCAAAGTCTCATTTTATTTTCAAAACTATTTTCGAAAATATTGTTTTTTTAATTTTCCTTTCTTTCCTTTTGCGTGGGAAATCATTTTTTTTTTGTTTTACAAATTAAAAACGCTTTTTATCTAAATTGCTTTGTAATAAAATTTCTTTTTATTATAAAAGAGCAAAAAAAAATTGTAATTTCAATATTTTTTGAGGTCCAATTATCAAAATAGCTTTTGAAAATAATTAAATTTCTGCAATTATTTATAATTTCTTCAAAATTGAATTTTTTTTAGTGTTTTCAAAAAAAATTTAAATTAGAAAATTTTTAAATTCTATTATTTTTAAAATTGCATATTTTATTTAAAAAAGGTAGTAAGCTATAAATAAAATAAAATAATAATAATATATCTATAAATATAATTGTATTTTTGAAGAGTTCTATAGTTGAAAATTTGGAAAATAAATAATTTGAATTTTCAAAAAAATTTAGAATTAAACTGATTATTTTTCGGATTGTTCCAGTGATACCTACTCGAAAGTTCAATTATTTTATTTTTTTTATCAAAAATATCTTACATTCAAGTTGCTGTTAGAAATATCTTATGGCGATTTTTAAACGAATTGTTCAAATAATTCTTAATTTTTTTTAAATTTAAATAAATACTGTTAGAAAAATTATACTTTTTTAAAAATGAAGAATTTCCATTAAATTTCAAAAAGAAATTTTTTTAAAATAATAGCAAAAAATAAAATTGAAGAAAAATTTGAAATAAAAACAATAAAATATAAAATAAAAGAATTGAAATAAAACAATAAGAAAATAAAAAAAAATTAAAATAAAAAAAAATTCACAAATGGAAACGTTGAAAATTAACAAAAAAAAAAATTGCTAAAAAAACACTTCTAAAAAATTTTGAGAGGCCAATATATTTAAATCATCACTGCAGCAATGATCTCAAGTATCTCGTGTTCTTTCTACATACACATATATACTATATACCATCCCCGAGGTTGTGAGCTTTAGCTTTTCAATGCAACTACATATTATGCATACATACATAAATTTATATCAACACATATGTGGGCGAGAAGAGAAGAAAAGATACTCAAGGGAACGACCTATAGATTCTCTGAAAATAGTCACCGACAGGTTTTCTATAGCGAATAAAAGCTAAAAAGGAAAATTTTCTCATGAAAAAGCAAAGAAAAAAAAAAAAATCTCATCACTTTCGAAAAAATTCGGAAGCATATACCTCAAAAAGGAAGAAATAAAAAAAAATTGAATAAAATGTAGATCTCATTTTCTGTCTCTCGAGAGTGAGAGAAAGATGGTCAATGAATAGAGGAAACGTAGTCAATGAAATATTTCCTGCTTCCCTAACCGATATTGAATAAAGAGACCCTCTGCTCTTTACAAGATTTTTTTTCTCTTCCCTTCTTTTCGTTTTTTTTTTTTTACAAGAATCTGCTCTCTCAATGGTATCCTCAGAAGCTATAATAGACCATTCGGAAAATAAGGTGGGGAAAAATTTTTTTTTCAACCCCCTCCTCAGGAAAAGATAAAAGATAATAAAAGGAAATGATGTGTAAAAATAGCCATTTTTAAAAATTTTAATAAATTAAGAAACAATAATTTTAACCCTCGCTCCTTAATTGAAATTTGCGAATTCGAAAACCAATAAGGCATCTGGAAAACAAAACCGAATAATAATTAGATATTCGGTTTTTTTCAATTTTATTTTGGCTTTTTTCTAATTATGTTGACCGTTTAAGATTTTTTGAAAGTATTTCTTTAACTATTTCTTTATTAATTTTTCTTTCACTTATCGTATTTTCTTATTTTATTTCTTTATTTAATTTTTTTTACAATTTCGAAAACTTTTTTTCCAAGACCTTTTTCCCAAAGGTTTATAAATCACAAAAATAAAGTAAAAACTCAAGGGGATTAATTTTATTGCTCAACTTGTAGTGTATGAAATAAATAAAGTAAATTAATAAACAGATATTTTTTATTATAATTTGTATAATTATTTTGTCTATTTACTATTTCAATTATTTACTTATTTTTAATTTATTTATTATTAATTTTATTTATTTATTTATTTATTATTCTATTTTTTATTCGAACTTTTTGGTCTTCTTTCTTATTTTATTTCTTTCATTTTTCATGTTTTTTCCAATTGTACAAAAACATATATTTTAGGAAAACTTAAAAATTTATGAATAATTCTCCTGAAATATTATTCAAACAATTTCTCAAGAATATTTCTGAATTTGGTTTGATTTCCAATTTCAGAAAATCGAGCAATTTTTTAATTACTTTAATGAAAAATATATTAACAAATCCTAGATAATTTTTATGTAAAAAATTTTTAATATACTTTTAATTGTACATATTTATTATTTAAATTTATTTTGTTATTTTATTTGTTTCTCACTTTTTACTTTTCATTTTATTACAATTCGATGGAAAAAATTTTCTTTTGAATATTTTAAAAATTTTTCTTAAAATTGAATTCTCATAAAGAATTTTATCAACAAATTGTTAAATAATTAAATTCTTTTGACGAATCTTAAAAAAAATTTTAAGAATAATTATTATATTTTTCGAGGAATTCGATAAAAATTGTATATTTAAAATAATTATGAAGTTCTGCGATAAATTTTAGTATTTATGAAAATAATTGAATTTCTGTAAAAAATTTTATTATTCATGAAAATAATTGAATTTCTGTAAAAAATTTTATTATTTATGAAAATAATTGAATCTCCTGTAAAGAATTTTATTATTTATGAAAATAATTGAATTATTTCGAAGAAATTTATAAAACATTTGTAAATAATTGAATTTCTGTGAAATTTTTTTTTATTTATGAAAATAATTAAATGTTTATGGAAAATTATATTGATTTTAAGATTTTTTCAAAATAATTGAATTCTTTTGAAAAATTTTAATAAAATAGTAGATATTGAAAATCATTGAATACAGAAAAATTTTTTTAAATAATTGAATTTCTGCGAAGAATTATATTATTTATAAAGATAAAATGATAATTTTAATAAAATTCTTGTCAAGAATTTAATTATTTTCATTGGTAAATAATAATTTTCTTCGAATGAATTCAATTATTCTCATATTTTTTGATAAAATTCATTGCAAGAATTCAATTATTTTCATAACTAATAAAATTCTTCAAAGAAATTAAATTATTCTCAAATTTCTTGATAAAATTCTTTGCAGGAATTCAATTATTTTCAATATTAATATTAATTTTAAAATTAAAAACAAGTATTTAAAAAGTAAAATATTTAAAAAAAGTTAAGAAACAAAAATGCAAACAATTAACTTCAAACTGCGAACAAATTACCGGAATACAATGATTATTAATATAGAAGAATATTCCTCGTAAATAATTTTAGAATAAATTCTTTTAAAATTTTTCTGACATCATTTTCTCTAGAATTTTTTAGAATTTAATTTAAATATAGATTTGAAAAATTTTACAAGAAAAAATTATTTTATTACAAAAATTAAAAAAAAATTTTTGTATTTAAATAATTCAATTCTCGTAATTGAATTCTGAGAAGAATTGAATTCCAAAATTGAATTTTGAAAAAATTGCAATTGTAATTTTTAATTAAATTTCAAAAGGTTTTACATTTAAATTATTTGAAATTTCAATTAAAATAACTAGCAAAATGTTTTTTAAATATTTTTTTAACAAAAATATTGAAGAAGTTTTGAATAGTTTAATTAAGAAATTCTAAAATTTGGTGATTCAAGAATATTAATTTAAATTTTTTGAATGTAATTAAATTAATTGAATCAAATAAATTAATTGAGTCTAAATTAATTAATTAAATTAATTAATTTGTTTGAGTTTAAGCAAGATCAATATAAATAAATTAGATATGATTATTATATTATATTTTCAAACGTTATATATTTTTCTGATCTTCATTACAATTTGATTCTATTTACTGTTTAAATTTTCACTGTAATTATTATTTTTATGGTAATTTATTCTGTTTATTTTTCAATTTCAGGAAGCATGCTGCTGGAGTTGTGTGCAGTGTCCCCAAGAAGCTTACGTTTTTAATGACTCGTGTCAAAGGTGTGCTGACGGTTATGCACCAAATGATAATAAAACAAATTGTATAAAATTAACACCCGAGGTTATTCCCTGGACGAGTCCTTGGGCAATAGTTCCTCTCGCTTATGCCTCCATTGGAATCTTCAGTACTCTCTTTACAACTGCCGTTTTTATTCGGTAAATAATTTCTCCTAATCTTTTTCCAATTTTCACCCTTTTATACATTTTTTTTTTCTACTAAAGAATTTTTCATTTTAGAACAAAAAATGATAAAGCATTTTTCATAACCATTAAAAAAAATTCTTCTATACATTTTCCTCTCTGATAGTTCATTTTAATAAGAAAGTTTGCATAGTTTTGCATGAATTAAACAACAAACGAAAGTAAAAAATTAGAAATAGAGAAAATGGAAAATTTTATTGTAAGGTGTTAATTAGAATTGTAAAAAAATGGTTTTATCTTCTTCGATTAATTTTATTAATTTTTAAATTTAATGAATTAAAGTTATAATTTAAATTACGACTGTAATTACAATTACAATTACAAATAAAATTTCAATTACAATAACAATTACAATTTTACAATTACAATTACAATTACAATTACAATTACAATTACAATTACAATTACAATTACAAATACAATTACAATTACAAATAACAAATAAAAATTCCAATTACAATTGTTTCGAATTGAAAAAAATAATGAATTACAATTATAATCACAAAAAATTACAATTACAATATTATTTTGCCAGGAAAAAAAAATATCAAATCCGCAAAATTAGTATTATTAGATAGAGACAGACTATAAATAAAATGCGAGTTTTAAATTTATTTTTAGAAAACTTAAAGTGTAAATTAGAATTTATTTTATAGGTCAGTACACGACTCGGGCGAAAGAAACTTGAAATTGACCTCAATAATTTTAATTATAAATTTCTTAACTAATTGACAAGGTGTGATTTTCAACGCGGGTAAATTAACACTCGGGCGTTAGTTTTCTCGAGAGTACTCTCGCGTAACATTGATCAATTAACACAACTCTTGCCAACTGAGAAGGATATAAATTAAATCATAAACATAAGCTCTTGATTTCATTTTTCATGTTTAAAAACTTTTATTGTTCGTTCTTTCGTATTCTTTTCACACAACACAAATAAAAAGATGAGTAGGAAGGGGTGGGGGAGTAAGGGAAAAAATTCTTCTACCTAAAAAATTTTTTGTAACTCTGAATAATTTATTAATTTTAGAATAAAAATTTTAAACAATTCATTAATTAACTAATTATTAATTAGTTTTCAATTAATTAGTTAGCATAAATTAATTAACTTATTAATTATTATTTGTTATTTTTAATGAAATTTTAATCCAATTTCGCGAAAGAATTCATTTATTTTCAATAAAATTTTTATGAGAATTTTTTCAAGAACTTAATTATTTTCTGACATTTTAATGAAATAATTCATAACAATAATTCATTTATTTTCGTTAATAATATAAAATTTAATTAATAGGATTTCAATTATTTTCAATACAATTCCACTAAAAATTCTGAAAAAAAATTGAATTATTTTAATGAATTTTATTAAAATTATTCGAAACAATTCAATTAATTTCAACAATTTAGATATAATATTCTTTGAAAAATTTTAATTATTTTCACAATAAAATTCGAATAATAAAATTCTTCACAGAAATTCAATTATTATTATTAATAAAATTTTGCTAAAAATTCTATAAGTATTCAATTATTATTTTCAAAAATTCTAATAAAATTATTCGAAACAATTTAATTACTTTCAACAATTTAAATAACATTTTTTTTAAATATTCAATCACTTTCAATACAATTTTACAAAAAATTCTTGAAAGAATTCAATTATTATACTTTGAAAAAATTTTAATAAATTTTTCCGAAACATTAAATTAAATTAAACAAAATTCAATTTTTTTATATAAAAAATAATACTAATCTGTATTTTAATAAAAATAAGTTTAACTTCACAAAAATTTAGTAAAACTCTTTTTATATTTGAGAATGTTAAAAAAATTTACAAATTAAATTATGTTTAATTCAAAGCAATTTTGTCTAATTAACTTTTTGTTTTTAAATAATTGAATTCACGAAAACTTTTGAAATGTTATTAAAAATAATTGATTAGGAGGAAAAGTGCAGTTTAACATTCTAGAAAATAATTAAACTTCGGAAGGGCGACATTTTGTAATTTCTAGATAATTATAATTAAATTTCTGCGAAATTAATCAATTATTAAATTAATTGATTTGGAGGAAAGACACAGTTAAAAATTCTAGAAAATAATAAAACGTCGGGAGGGCGACATTTTGTAATTTCTAGATAATTATAATTAAATTTCTGCGAAGGTTTGAAATAGAAATTAAAAAATTTTAATTTCCGTGAATAAAAAATAAATAAGCAACAAAAATATTTAAATATTTATTTACAAAAAAGTATTGAAATTTTGAATAATAATTGAATTTAGAAATAAGTAAAAGGTCAAGTGAAAATATAAATTGAAATTTTAGTAACAAAAGTAACTGTTATGTTTTAGAATGTTTAATTAAGTTTTCAAATTAAATTATAATTTTTAATTCAAGACAATTTTATTTAATTAATTTTTATTATTAAGTTATTATTTAATCTTCCAAAGATTTAATTAGAATTTCAGTTATTTTAAAATTCAAAAACGTTTAGAAAGAAAAATGATCAAAAACATGAGGAAACGAAAAAGAAATTAAAAACATCCGGAACACAACGATTTATTAATATTGCTTTTATTTTTTGACTAAATTATAATAATTAGTAATGAAATATTAATAATTTAATAAATTGTAATAAATAGTAAGAAATTGTTAAAAAATTGTTTAAAAATTGTATAGTAATAAATTGTAATAAATAGTGCAATATTATTATAATAGAAAAAATTTTTCTTAATGGTTTAAAAAAATACTGTTGAAAACAATTTTGAATCTCTGTTTAATTTACATTAAAAGCAAGATTAAACTAAACTTGCGACTTTTGTAATATGCGCTTGAAATTGCTTGAAGAAAAATGCGTTAATGATGTTGGATTATTATTATTTCTGTCGAGAACAGGTACAACAGAACTCCAGTAATCATGGCCTCTGGTCGTGAACTCTGCTACGTGCTTTTGGTTGGTATCCTTTCCTGCTATGGGATGAGCTTTATAATTCTCAGTAAGCCAACATTCTGGAATTGCACCTACTTGCGAATTGGTCTCGGTCTTTGCTTAAGCATTTGCTATAGTGCAATTTTAACAAAAACCAACCGCATTTCGAGAATTTTCAACGAGGGTCGGCAAATGAAACGACCATCATTCACATCGCCAAAAAGCCAAGTGGCAATAACAATCGGTGAGAACTTTTTATTTCTAAATAATAAGAATCCAACATTTTTCCCTCTCACGTAATCAATTAAACAAAATTGCGCTCAATTCATTTCTCGATGAAATTCAAACCATAAAAATTTAAAATATATATTTAATTTATTTATTTTATAAATATATTATTTTTATATATTATTTTTTTAATATTTGGATTTCTCGATCGAAAATAGAAAAAATAGGAATAGAGCAATTCTACGTAAACTGATGTAATCGAAAAAATTAGATTTTTATGGAGATTGTTATATTCAATTTCATGTAGCTTCGACAAAAATTAAAGGATTTTAATTTTTAAACTTTAAAGTCAATTTAAAGTTTTTAAAATTTTTCTGAGTACTTTTCAATGCCAACAATCTTTTTTCAAACGAAAATGTTGTAACCCCTCTTTTTTCAAAAATGAGTGTAATTTTTCAATTTTTACTAAAACTATTTTATTTTCATTGAAAAGCTGAGATTTTTTCCAATTAAATATGTAAATAATGAAAATGAGACAACAATCTACTTTCGAGAAAGAAACAAAATTACTTTTTGAACATTTTTTTGAAAAATTTTTGTTGAAAACACTTAAAAAAATTCAATTTTGGAGAAATTACAAATAACTGCAAAAATTCAATTATTTTCAAAGAAAAATAAAATTGAGGCCTTGGATCCAATAACTCGCCCGACGCTCGGAGGCACGCGCTAATACTAGTCGGGTAGCAGTGAGTGGCCCAGAGGCGCTCACTGCTCACTGACTGGCAGTCGCGCGTTCCTCCGAGCGTCGGGCGAGTTATTGGATCCAAGGCCTCAATTCTTCTTATAAAATTCAACTATGTTCAAAATTTGAAAAAAAATCCCAATTATCTTTATAAATAACAAAATTCTTCTCCAAAGTTCAATTATTTTCATAAATGTCAAAAAAATTCTTGTCCTAATTTTAATAATTGTCAAAAAATTTTCTAATTTCAATTATTTTCAATATATGGTACTATTTTTAAAAAATTTCCCAAAAAGAATTCAATTATTTAAACAAAATTTTAATAAAATTTTATGCAAACATTTAATTATTTTCATAAATAATAAAATTTTTTTAAGGAATTCAATTTTCATAAAAAATAATTTAAAATTCTAGAAAATGATAATTGAATTAAAATGATGAAAATAATTTTGATGAAGTTACAGTAACAATATTCTTATAATATAAAATAATGATTTTATCTCTCGGTCATCTTTAATTATTAAAAAAACTTTTATAAGTTGTTTAATTTAAAAAAGGTTTGAATCTTGAATTTTTGAATGTCTTAATTTCTGTGGAAAATCCTGTTCCAAAAATAAGATTAAAAATAGAATTTGTGTAAATATTTTTCTTCTTTTTCTAAAACAAAATAATAATTTTGTTAAAAAAATTGTGATTCATAAAGAAAAATAATGCAAAATAAATAAATTTTCTATTTCTTCATCACAGTTGTTTAACAATTTTCTAATTTTGTTTCGAAGTAAAGAACAAAAGTCTGCATAATTTCAATTTGACAAAACATAATATTTAACAAAATTTTAGTCTTTTAATGAAAAGAGGTGAAAAAAATTCTGATGATTTCTATTTGTCATTACAATTTTCAATCAATTATAAAATATAAATAATCATAACATAATAATATAATATACAATCTATCTAAAGTTAACAAAAAACAAAAGTATAGACAAAAGAACATTCAAATTATTATAGTTAATTAATAAAAATCTTATCTTTCCAGTAAAAGTGATAAAAACGATGAAAAAATACATTTTTATAATAAATATTCTTGTTTGTAAATAATTAATAGTCAGTATAATATTAAATTATATTTAATAATGAAAATAAAATTGAAAAAAATGAAACATTCAATAATATATTGAAAATTGAAATAAAAAAGAAAAACAAGTAAAACTAAAAAAAATAGATAAATAAAAAAATATAAAAACAATAGAAAATCACACGAAACTAAAAAAAACAGAATAAAAATGTTGTTAGTTAAAAAAATTGTAAAGTAAGAAAATTATTAATTAAAAAAAATGTAATTTATTAATTAGTTAATAATTATTATAATCAGTTGAAAAATTCAAAAATTAACAAATGATTATTTTCCATTAAATGAAGAAAATTTCCTGTTTATCACAAAATTAAGTTTAAAAAATATATCTATAAATAAAAATTAAAATATTAAGTAATAAAAAAATTGGTACCCTGCTTTTTTCGAAAGTAAATAATCTCATTTTTTAACTTTTAGTAAAATTCTTTTTTACTTTTTATTTTTATCATTTTTATTAAAACGACGTGCTTTCTTACAAAAATTTTTGAAAATAGGGCAACAATGGATTTTTAAGAAAATTAAAAAAAGGGTTTAAAATATGTACTTTTTTTAAGTACCTATATTGTTCTTTCACTTTCATTTTTGGTTTTATATATTTTATTGACAAAAATATTAGCTTTCCAATGACAATGATTAAAAAATGAAAAAAAAATGCAGTTTTTATAAAAATTTAAAAATAAGATTTATTTTTAAAAAAGGGAGGTAAGAAAGAAAAAAATATAAGTGTTAAAAAACCTTTATATTTTTTTTCTTTTCGTTCTTCTTGTTTTGAAGAAAGTTGTTTGGCTTTGAAAATTGCACAAATAATGCTTTCAAATTCACTCTATAAATTTTAAAATCAATTAATTGTAAGTTTGATCGAAATTAAAAGCTTTACTTAAAACGTCACAATTGCAGTCGCCATAGTTATTGTGATTTATTTTTAAAAAATTAATAATTTCGGATTTTATAAACTTTTATATAAAAACAACAATTTACCAGAGTTTCAAGACAATACCAGAAAATTAAAATATTTACTTCATCATTTCACGTGGAATTGCTCAATATATTTTTTAATTGTTAGGCTGTGACTTTTTCTAATTTACCATTTTCTAATTCTTTTTTTTCTAAATAAATTTTAAATAAAATATATTTTAAATAATTTCTAACAAAATCAAATTCGCAAATAAAGTTTTTCTAAAAATAAATTTTCTAACAAGTTTTGATTTCTAAAATTTATTATACAATTTTTACCAAGTTTTGATGTCTAAAATTTATTTCCTACTTCTGTCGAGTTATGATTTTTATCATTTATTTTAGAATTACCCCGACAAGTTTTGATTTCTAGAATTTATTGTTTTGAAATTTATGAAATTCTAAAATTGCTCTAAAAGTATAATTATTTTAAAATTGAGTTTCTATAAAGATTTACAAGCAAAGAAGTGTTTTATTTAAACCAAATGTAATTTATTTGAGTCAAATATGCACTTAAAAAAAATTTAATTGATTCAATTAAATGGTATTTGAACCAATAATTTCAGTTATTTGAATCAAATACCATTTAATTGACTCCAATAAATATTATTTGATTCAATTAAATATTTAATGGATAATAGTCAATTAATCGGTTAATTGAATCAATTAAATTTTTTTTTTCAGTGTAAGTATAGTTTTCACAGAACTTACTAAATTATTTAATTGTTTTAAATGAACATTTTATTCAATACAAATAACATTTTTATTTGTACCAAATAAAATTTATTTGTTAGACAAAAAATATAATTTAGTTAGGATTTTGAGTAAAATATATTTTTTTTGTGTAATATTAAACAAGCATTTTTTTTACTGTGAATTTATAAACTTGATATTAAAAATTTTCAAATTAATTTATTTAATATTTATTAGTAGAATTATTTATTAGTATTATTTTATTAGTAGTCATTTATTAGTAGAAATTCAAAATTTGTTAGAAAAAATTTTTTAAAAATGACCTTCATTAGAGAAAAGACTTCTAAAATTCACCTTCATTGGAAAAAAAAAGTTTTAGAAAATGCCTTTTAGAAAAACTGTATCCAATTGGTATTTATAATTATATTAATAATTATTAAATCGTGTTGAAAAAAATTATAACATTAAATTAAAATTTCCCTCAAGGAAAATTAAGTAATTTGGAGGAAAAAAAACAATCAGTAAATTAATAATATTTTGAGAAGTTACCTTTTAACTTTATTATACAATTTAAATAAATACCAACGGTGATGAAAAAAAAAACGAAAATGTAGACTCGTGGGAAATCTGAGGAAAATCGTGATAATGAATGGTGAGCTCCGAATTATGTAACACCCGTCTTTGTACAGGGCTTACTGCAGTTCAGCTGGTTGGTGCTATTTTTTGGCTAATAATTGAACCGCCTGATATCAAGGAAATTCATCCGTATCCACTGACGGCCGTACTCACATGTCGTGTGTCAACATTCTCTCTCATGATGTCATTGGTCTACAATATGTTTCTCATTCTCATGTGCACACTCTACGCATTTAAAACACGGAAAATACCGGAAAATTTTAACGAAGCTAAATACATTGGTTTCACAATGTATTCCACCTGTATTGTGTGGTTGGCCTTTGTTCCAATTTATTTTGGCACCAATAACGACTACAAGGTTTTTATTTTTCCTTTCTTTCACATATATATTTCAATTCACATTTGCTTCTAAATTGAAATTAAATTTTTGCAAATTTACAAAAAGTGTATTTTTTTTCGTGATGAAGCTCTATTTTTCTTTTGAACTGAAAAAAAATTCTTCTTGCAAATGTTTTTGTATTAAAAATTAAAATATTAATTAAAAATTGAAATTTAATTTTTAATTTAATTTAAAATGTTAATTTAAACCATTCAGAGTGGTCGATATAATCGTAATTGTTAATTAACGATGAGTAATAAATTTATAATTTTACTATTAATTACTGAAAATTAAACTTTAATTTCCAATTTATTTTCAAAAATTAAATTTTAGTTTTCAATTTCGTTTAAATAATTACTCAGCGATCAGTTAAAATGATCGATATTTTCATCATTATTGTTAATTATCGCTGAGTCATATCTTCAATAATTTTACTAGATATTAAAAACAAAAATTTTATTTTCAATTTAATTTCAAAAACAAAAATTTAATTTTTAAATTTAAATTCAAAAACTAAACATTTAATTTAATTTCAATTCTTTCAATTATTACATAATTTGATTAAATTTCAAAAATTACAATTAAATTTATAATTTTGTGATGGAAAAATTGCAAAATAACAAGGAATTTTTTTTTTAAATTCAAAAACTAAACATTTAATTTAATTTTAATTCTTTCAAATTACATAATTTGGTTAAATTTCAAAAATTATGATTAAATTTATAATTTTCTGGAAAAATTGCAAAATAACAAGGAATATATTCTTTATTGCAGATACAAATAGCGAGTATGTGTATGTGCATCAACATCTCGGCGACTGTTGCCCTCGGCTGCCTTTTATCTCCTAAGGTGTACCTGGTGCTATTTCAACCTTACAAAAATGTCAGATCCGGTCAATCTCATGTAAGTTTATTCTCCGGAAAAAAGTTTTTCTTTTTTTTTCATTTTTTTTTTTTTTTTTTTGTCTTTTTTTGTCAAGAGGTGACGTGCCTGTGATATTCCTCTTCTAGGCGATTATTCACTCTGCCAAAAAGCTCGTTCAAACTTGCATTAAAACTTGAAATGCGATAAGCCTTGCAGATTACTTTCTTAGGGTGTAAGCTCTCTTCCAGTTATTATCGTAATTTCAATCTACTTCCTCGATATGAGAAAAGAAATTTTCTTTTGCCTTCGAAGAAAAAAGTTTTGCGACATTAACAAAAAAAATTTAAGGATGCGAAAAGGAGGGTTATAATTTATTTTCTTTTTTAACTAATACGATCGTTAGTCAGAGGAAGAAAAAAAGAAAAACAATTTTTTTTAAATTCTTTAGTTCTTTTAAATTTAGCATATTAAATAAATTTTAATGCTATAATAACTGTGTGTCAGTTTCAGTTTCATATTTTTTTTTATTATATATTAATTTATATTCATATTCTGCCTCTTTGGAATTACAAAAATCAAATGTAAATTGTTTACCACTGGAAAAAATACAAAAATATTCAGTCTTTTTTTTAAAATATTTAATATTTCTAAAATTAAAGATTAAAAAATCTGTATTAATAATCGTTGTATTCCGGTAATCTGTGTAAAATTAGTTTAAATTTAAAAAAACAAGTTTAAAATTAGTTATTGTTTGCTTTTTTGTTTTATAACTTTTTTAATAATTTTTCTTTTTAAATATTTTAAGTTTTAAAATTAATATATTGAAAATCATTGAATTCTTGAAAAGAATCATTATCAAAAAATTTGAGAATATTTGAATTCCTTGAAAGCTTTTTATTAAAATTTTTAAAAATCCTAATTCAATTCTTTCGAAGAATTTCTTTGAATATTTTTTAAAATAATGGAGTTTCTTTAATAATTTTAATTGAAAAATTTTAAGGTACTTGATTTTATGAACAGTTTCTTTCAAGTTTTTTTTTAATAATCATGTTTGTTAATAATTAAAATTAAATACCTATTTAATTATTGAATTTTATTAGAATTTTCTAAAATAATTTAATTCATTCAATGAATCTTATTAAAGTGAAGAAAATAATTTTATTCTTTCGAGGAATGGATACTGTTAAAGATTTTGACAATAATTGAATTCTTTCAAAGAATTTCTTTAATTTCTTGAATATAATCGTTTTTGTTAATAATTGTAATTAATAATTTTACTATTAAAATTTTATTAAAATTATTGCTGGAAAATTAAACTCTTTAAACAATTTTATTAAAGTTTTTGTAAATAATTAAATTCTTTTAAAGAATTTCTTCAAGTTTTTTTTGAAAATAATGTAGATTTTTGAATAATTGTTAATTGAAAATTTAGCAAATAATTGAATTAAACAAAGAATTTTTTTGAACATTTTAAAATAATCGTGTCTGTTAATAATTATAATTAAATATTTGATTATTAAAGTTTATTAAAATTGTATTGAAAATAATTGAATTCCTGAAAAGAATTTCATTATTTATAAAAAATAATTTAATTCTTGCATGAAGAATTTTACTATTTCTAAAACTAATTGAATTGTTTCGAAGGATTTATAAAAATTTAAGAAAATAATTGGATTCTTTCGAAAAATGTTATTAAAAATTTTTTAAATTGCATTCATTTAAAGGATTTTTAAAAATTTTAGACAAAAATTGAATTTTTTCAAAGATTTGGTAATTTTTTAGTAATTGGTATTTTTTTACGAAATTAAATGAAAATAAATTGAAGAAAAGCTTTAATAAAATATTCTATAAGGGCGGGACGTGAAGCTGTCGAAAATAAGAATAAATCAGAATGTACAGGGCAGTTCTTCGAGAATATCAGGATATGGAATATAAATCGTTGATTGCCTTCATAGCATTTGGCACAAAGTTTGATTATGTGGGTGAATATATATTATATACACATCTTGTGTGTATATATAAATTTTACAATATGTAATATTCAGTTCAGAATGTGTACATAGTATGTACATATGTCGATAATCTCATATACATTTCTGAAAGCGCACATATATATATATATATATATACGTGGAATTTTAAACTCGTAGTTGGAAAATGTAACTTACTGTTGAGCTGAGAGAGCAAGTTGAAGGAAAGTTTCCTGCAAGACTTTATGTACTGTAATAAATGTTATTTTCTACAAACACTTTGAAATTTTCTAGAGAAATCAAGACAACACTTTTAGAATTGAATATTAAATTTGATTTTTAATTTTAATCTTCAATTCACTTTTTAGAGTATTTTTGAAATTATTTATTTAGTGTGCGGTTTCTAAAATACTTTTTTTAAAACTATTTCTAACTATTTTCCACTATTTTAACTTCTGTATTTTTTAAATAGCTCGCAAAAATTCAAATGAGTAATTCAATTTTGCTGAATTTAATAATTATTTAATCATATTTATTGATAATTGTAACTATTTGTGAAAACCGTTTTTTATAATTATTATTAAATAAAAAGTAATTAGGAATTTTTATTGCAAAATAAAATCGTTTTATTCCGGAGGTTTGGATGTTTTTCGTGGATATTTTTTATTGTTTTTCTGATTTTCTTTTTAATATTTTTGTAAGAAAAATTTATACATTTCTTTGTTTTCTATAATTTTCCGTTATTAAGAAATTTTTTCATTATTTTAAAGGACAATATTATTTATAGTAAAAAGTGTTATTTTTGAATCTTTTATAATTTTGGAAACTTTTATAATTATGAATCTGACGCAATTTAATTCTTCCATAGAATTTGCAAAAAAAATTTGTAAATATTCAATTCTTTCAAAGTATTTTATTAAAATTTTTGAAAATAATTGAATTATTTTAATGAATTTTATTCAAATTTTAAAAATTTGTTATTCAATTCTTTCGAGGAATTTAAATAAAATTGTATTAAAAATATTTTAATTCTTATGAAAAATTTTATAAATATTTTAAAAAATAATTCAATTCTTTTGAAGAATTTTATTAAAATTTAAAAATAATTAAATTCATTGAATAAATTTTTACTATAATTGAATTTCTGCGACGAATTCTATTAATTTTTTTTTAAATATTTAACTTTGTTCAAAGAATTTTATTAGAATTCTTAAAAACAATTAAATTTTTTTCAGAAATTTATTTCAATTTGTATTGGAAATAATTGAATTTTTATTAATTTATTTATTTATTTATTTATTTATTCAATTTTTGATAAATTTTATTAAAATTTTATTGAAAATATTTAAATTCTTTCAAGAAATTGATTTAAAATAAATTACACTGGAAGTAATTGAATTCTTATATAAAAAATTTAATCAAAATTTTCGAAAATAATTGAATTGTTTCGATAAATTTTATAAAAATTTAAAATTCAATTTTTTTGAAAAATTTTATTAAAATTTGAAAATAATTGAATTCTTTAGATTTCTCTAGATAGAATTCTATTTGAATTCTTGAAAACAATTTAATTTTTTCCAAAAATTTGTTTCAAATTGTATTGAAAATAACTGAATTTTAATAAACAAATTTCAGTAAAATTGTATTGAAAATATAATTAAATTCTTTCAAGGAATTGATTTAAAATGACACTGGAAGTAATTGAATTCTTATAAAGAATTTTATTTAAATTTTGAAAAATAATTTAATTCGTCAGAAAAATTTTATGATTTATGAAAATATTAAAATTCTTGCGAAGAATTTTATTCATATTTTTGAAAATTATAAATATTAATAATTAATTGGATAAATTTTTCAATAATTGAATTTTTTAAGCCTTGAATCTGAAATTATTCAAAAATTGAAATCGGTATTTGAAAATAAATTTTAATAATAAAATTTAATATCGTGTTTCGCGAACGTAACATTTGCTAGTTATTTAATATTATTTGAATAATATTGATTTTCGTAATTAAATTCAGTAATTAACTAAGTTCGATAATTCAATAATTGAATTCAGAAATTTGATATCTAAATTTAACAATTAATTTAAAAAATTATCTGATTATTATAGTTAATTAATTTCAATAATTAAATTGACTATTCAAATAAGACAATTTGAACTTAGAATAAACGGTGTAATTGAGAAAAAACATTTTTTTAAATTAAAGATTTATTTATTTCGAGTCAATTCCAGTAAATGACGGATATAATCTTCGATTATAATTATTATTATTAAATTCAAATTAATAATACTCGTATTTAATTAACAATTTCTACTTGGTAGTCAATATAATATACACAAAAAAAACAAAATTTTTTGTTTCTTAAAAAAATGATTTCTCGCAGTTTAGTTCGAAATATATTTCTATATAGAGCCTATAAATTTTGATGAAATCCCGATCATATCCAGATTTTCATTCTCCGAGTTTTCTCTCTCTCTCTCTCTTTCTCACTTTTTCTCGGCTGTTTAAAAAAACTTTTCTCCATACCCTAATAAGATTTGCAATCTTTCTTTCGCCATATTTTGTTCTTGATCAAAATTCCCATTTTCCATTCGATTTTCAAACTCGTTTCGGTCCTTGGATTTACACTGATCAGTGTGATTTTTCAATCCAGGCACAGGAATTTCACTTCCACATAGATTACATATCAAACTTACTTTCTTCATCATCTATAAAAAAAAAGAAGGAAGAAAAAAATGATTTTCATAAAATTAAAATTAGATTAATTTTCCAGACTGTAAAAATACAGAACATGAAAAATAATTAAAAGAGAAAGAAAAATAATCAATTTGTAAAAATTGTGTAATTTTGTAAAATTTATGTGAAATTTTCGTGACGACATTTTTGTTATTATTGATTTGCACTTTTTCTTTTTGTTCGCAGTCAATATTTTTGATAGGACTTTTTTAATGATCATCAATATTCTTGACCTAAATTTAGAAAATGACGGAGTAAATTGCAGAGATGAGTGTTCGCTTTTATTCAATGCCAATAGAATTCCCGCAAATTATTTCTCGTATTTTTGATTCAAGCACATCTTCTTTATTGCGCTCTGTTTTACTCTTTAGAATCTAATCATCAATTTTCACGTGTTCCATTTTTCGTTTATAATATTTTTTGCATATTATTAATCAATTATTTGAGAATGAAATTTTTTTCACTAGGAAAATTTTAAAGAAAAAATTACAAAATTGCAATTTTTTTCACACAGAAAATAGTATTAAACAAAAAAATTCTTTCTCTTTTTCTATTTTTGCATGCGTAAAACATGAATTTCTAGCAATAAATAAATTTTAAAAAATACTTTTTTAATTGAGTTTTTAATTTATTGTAAAAAACAATTTTAGTAAAACAACTTAGTGATTGTTAAATATTTTTATTGGCTCGTTAGAATAAAATTTATTTCGGTACTTACAACAAAAGCATTGAATTGATTCATCGTTTCTACAGAGCTTCTTGAACAAAATATTTACGTTTGGATTGATCGGATAAAACTGAAGAGCAGTCGATGTTTAACTTCCCGTAGTTCTCGAACAAATTTTTATTTTCGAATAAATTCTCTTAGACATATAGTTATGAGGTCACATTCGAATTTTGTCGTAATAAGTCGGTTTTCTTCGTTAATGTTTCGATTTTCACATTTCTGATTAATTCTCATTAATCACTTTTGTATTTTTGTCAACTCTCTCATGTCAGTAATTTTTTTTACAAATTTCAGACCTTGAAAATTGCAAATTTTGAAAATTATTAAATTCTCAAATTTTAATTAAAAATTCTTAGAATTTTAGCGTTATAATTTTTTGAAATTTAATTATTTTCAATATTAATTTGAATTTTTAATTTAATTTAATTTTAATATTAATAATTTGAATTTAATATTTCTGAATATTTAAATATCAGCAAAAAATTTTGAGAAATAAATTTTTATTAATTTTTATTTTAATGTCTATCTAAAAATGACTTTGATTGTAAACTACTTTATTCTAATTTGAAAATTCTTTTTTATTGTTCCAAAAAGCGAAATTCCTATACATTAAAATAAACTTAAAATAATTTAAATATTTAAATGTTTCAAATATTTTTCAAAATTTATTTACAAGTGAGATTTGATTTTAGATTTTTATGAATTTTGACGATAACAGAGTTGCCGTGGGTCAGAAAAATCAGAGAAGTTACGGAATTGTGTACAAAGTGAAAAAATATCAAATTTCTAGAAATATTACAAAAATTCTGATTTTTTGTGTTCTTTGAAAATAGTGAAAATCGTCAATTTTCCTGGTTTACAGTTTCCAATTTTTATATTTAAAGTTTTAAATAATTGAATTTTTTTATAACTTTCTGAAAATGATTCAAAATAATTGATTCAGTGAAAAATTTTAATTAAAAATTTTGGAAAACTTTAAGAAAATCATGAAATTGTATTGATACTAATTAAATTTCTAAAAAAGAATTTTACTATAATTATAAAAGTAATATTGAATCCTTCCAAGGAGTGTTATTATTTATGAAAATAACTAAATGTTTGCGTAGAATTTTATTAAAATTTTTGAAAATAATTGAATTGTGGAGAACAATTTAATTATATTTATAAAAATAATTGAAATTTTGAGGAGAATTTAAAAAAATTTTTAAATATAATTGAATTTCTGCGAAGAATTTTATGAAAATTTATATGAAAATAATTGAATTCTTGTGAAGAATTTTTTTTTAAAATAATATTCAAAAGAATTTAGTTGTAAATCTGAAGAATTTTGCTATTTATGGAAATAATTGAATTCTTTCGACGAATTTTAATAAAATTTTTAAGAATAATTACATTTTTCGAGGAATTTGATTAAAATTCGACTCGGAGTGATTGCCTTCTTCATGATTTGTTATAATTTAAATTACCATAAAATTTTTCAAAAAAAAGTTAATTATTTACAAAAATCCTAATAAAATCCTTCGCAAGAATTCAATTATTTTTGCAAGTAGTAAAATTTCTCAAAAAGTTCAATTATTTAAAAAAAATGTTGGTAATAAAATTCGTTGCAATAATTCAATTATTTTCATAAATAATAAATCGATTATTCGGTAATTCATTTTTAAATTAATTTTTATTAGAAAATTCTAGAAGAATTTAATTATTTAAATACAAAAATAAATAATTTATTGAACAATTGAATGTTTGTTGAAATTGAATTCTCATAAAGAATTTTATCAACAAATTTTTAAATAATTGAATTCTTTTGACAAATTTTAATTAAATTTTTAAGAATAATTACATTTTTCGAGGAATTTGATTAGAATATTGTATCAAAAATAATTAAAATCTTCCGATGAGTTTTATTATTTAAGAAAATAATTAAAATTTTACCAAGAATTTTCTAAAAATTTTTTTAAAATAATTGAATTTCGAAGAAGAGTTTTATTATTTATAAAGATAATTGAAATTATGAGGAGAATTTTTAAAAAAATTTTTGAACATAATTGAATTTTTGCGAAGAATTTTATTACTTTTGAAAATAATTTAATTCTTCCAACGAATTTTATTCAAGTTTATAAAAATAACTAAATTTCTGTGAAGAATTTTATTATTTTTTTATAAATAATTGAATTCTTGCAACGAATTTTATTCAAGTTTATTAAAATTAATTGAATTTCGGTGAAGAATTTTTTTTATTTATAAAAATAATTGAATTCTTGAAAAGAATTTTGTTAAATTTTTTTAAATAATTGAATTCTTGCGACGAATTTTATGAAAATCATTTTAAATAATTGATATTTTTCGAAAAATTTTATGAAATTTTATATTTTAAAATTTAAATAATTGAACTCGTGTGAAAATTTTTATTACTTATGAGAAAATAATTGAATTATTTCGAAGAAATTTATTTAAAATTTTGTAAATAATTGAATTCCTGTGAAATTTTGCCAAGAATTTTATTAAATTTTTTTAAAATAATTGAATTTCGATGAAGAATTTTATTATTTATAAAGATAATTGAAATTATGAGGAGAATTTTTTTTTAAATTTTTGAACATAATTGAAATTCTGCGTATATAATTTTTAAAACTTTGAAAATAATTGAATTTCTGGAATCATTTGTAACTTTTCCAAAAATCAATATTCTTTTTTAGTATTTTTAACTAAAATTCTTCTATCAATCTCGTATTTATGAAAATCGTCAAAATTATTCATTAAATAATTTATAAGTATGATAATTTTATGATAGTTCTTGAAAAATTAAGTCATTTAAAAAGAGATTATTGTCAAAAATAGAAAAAATTGAAGGATTTGTATTAAAATTCGTGGGTAATTTCATAGTTTATAAGGCAAACAAAAAAGACACAAAAATTCAGAATTTTTTATTAATTTTAAAAATTCAATTTTTTCCAGTACTAAAAATCCCTGACTTTTCCCTGATTTCCCTGACCAATTTTACTATCCCTGACTTTTCCCTGAATTCCCTGACCTGTGGCAACCCTGTTTAAACTTTGAATTTGTACATTTAAGGGTAGTTTTTTCGATTTTAAAAAAATTTAAATTGGTGGAGCAATTCTAACATCATATTCGTTTTCAGCGGGCAAAAATACTGTGAATTGGCCTGTTTATACGAAGCCAAAACAATTAAAAAAATTTTTTTTTTTGAAGAAGAAGAAGAAGAAGAAGGTCTGGTTCAATAAACTGACCAGTTTTATTTTTTTGTGTGCCTGTGTAATTATTATTTTTTTCTTTGGTGAATTTGATTGTTTTTTTAAGTAATTATTTATTTTTTTAGGTCGATACCGACCCGAAACGTCGCGTCGACACTTTTGTTAATGAAAATATTTTCCAAAATAAAAAAAGTGAATTTTTACTTTAAAAAAAAAACACGACCGATAAGCCTTTTACTCAATAATACATTATTTATTTTTCTTTGGTGAGAATTGAATTTGAATTGAATTTGACGAGTGTTAATGGAATGATTAAGGGCATTTGAACCTTGATGACGTCACACATGCTTTGCACAAAGTGTAACGTCATCAAGGTTCAAATGCCCTTAAGAGCTAGAAGAAAAAGGAAAATTGAGTTCTAAAATCGAATCGTTTTATTGTTACGAATTGTTACAGACAAGTGCCACTCAAGGTGCCCAACGGCCAGGTTACAGTATGCGGTTTACAGCGGGTCGGAGTCAGACAATGCTGAGTGTAACGTCGGGTTCGAGGAGCAGCCCACCGCCCACATTACCTCGTGCAGGTTCACGTAGCGGAGGTGAACCAAAGCACGCAAATGGTGAGCCGCAACGGAGCCTCGCCGCAAGCCCATCCATAGAGGAAACCTCCCTTAGCTAGGTCGCCCTCGTACATCTCCCTCTCTGTCTAGAGCATCATGCACAAGGCTCTGAGATGCACAAGACCGAGATGGAGGTGTATGGAATTAAAAGAACCGACGAGGATGACTGTAAACTCTCCACGGTGCCTGAGCTTCCTGAATTCTCCAGCCCACCCTCTCAGACTCTCAAGTCCAATCAGGATTCCGAGGACTACAGAAATGGTTCTTTCACCAACTCCGTAAGTTTCCCATTTTCCTTTCTTTAGCTTTTTTTATTTTCCTCTTTTATTTTTATTTCCTCCAACTTCTTAAGTGAAAAGGAAAATGACACCAAACTTTTTTTAATTATTATATTTACTAGCCAAATTGCAATGTTTATTGTAAACAATTTCAAGTCATTTTAATTTATGTAATTTTTAAAGAAATACTTATTATGACACATAACTAAAAAACTAATAAGTAGAATTAAATTTTCAAATTATATTATATTTTTAAACTTTAAAGTACATACAAAAAATTTAACAAATTTTGATATACTAATTTCAAATTTTACATCAGATTTTCAAAATTGAAAACTTCTTGTACGAGGTAAATTGAATTTCTCAAAAATTGATATTTAATACCTAAATTAAAAATAATCTTCAACTTTCTGAACAAAGAATATAAATAATATTTTTTTTTAGAGAATTTTTACTACCATAAATTCGCTAATTTTCAAAAAAATTTCGTAAAAATCAATTATTTAACAAAATTTTATGCAATTTATTTTTCACAATAATTTAATTACTGTCACTAATAATAAAATTTTTCATGAAAAGTCAATTTTTAAAAAAAATTTTTCATTAAATTCTAAGCAAGAATTTAATTATTTTCATAAATTATTATTTAAAATTATTATTATTATTATTAATTATTATTTTAAACTCATCGAAGAATTTCAATTATTTTCATTACTATTTTAAATTAATAATCGAAAAATTCAGTTATTTTCACAAATAAAGTTTTTACACAAGAATTCAATTATTTAAAATAATAAAATTTTCATAATATTTATTATATTTCGAAAAAAATAATTATTTCAAACAATGTTTATAAAATTCTAATAAAGAATTCACTTACTTTCAAAAATAATAAAAATTTTTACAAAAATTCAATTCTTTTTAAATATTTTAATAAAATTTTCTGCAATAATTCAATTATTTTCAAAAATAAGAAAATTCTTCTCTGCAATTCAATTATTTTTGAGAATAATAATAAAATTCTATTCAAATTAAAAACCATTCAATTATTTTCATAAGTAATAAAATTCATAGCAGGATTTCAATTATTTTTAATACAATTTTACAGGAATTGCTCAAAAATTTTAATTATTCTTAAAAACTTAATTTCAATTCTTCGAAAAAATAAATTATTTAAAAAAATGTTTTTTTTAAATTCTATGGAAGAATTGAATAATTATTTTAAAAAATTTAATAAAATTGTTTGAAAGAAATTAATTGTTTTAAATACGATTTTAATTAAATTTTTTTTGAAATAATTCAATTTTTTAAATTTTAATAACATTTTTCTAAGAATTCAATTATTTACACGAATAATTTTTCGAAAGAAAAATTATTAAAGATTATTAAAGATAAATAAAAAAATTACCCCCGAAAATTCAATTATTTTGAGGTATTTTAATAAATTTTTTTTCAAAATTCAATTATTTTCATAAATAACAATGTTCATCACAATAATTCAATTATTTTTAAAAATAATAAATTTCTTCTTGGAAATTCCATTATTTTAAAAAATTCTAATAAATCGTTTGCAATAATACTATTATTTTCATAAATAATAAACTGTTTTTTAGGAATTTAATTATTTTCAAAAAAATTTAATATGTAAAATTTCCCACAGATATTCAATTATTGACAAATTTTTTGATAGAATTCTTTGTAAAATTTAACTATCTTTAAAAACTTTTCGCAATTCAATGATTTTCAATATATACTATTTTCATAAAATTTCCAAACAGAATTAAATTATTTAAAAAATGTTTTGTAAAAATTTAATTCTTTTCATGAATAATAAAAATTTTCATTAATTCAATTATTTAAATTAGAATTTGCATAAAATTATTCGAAAGAAAGGAATTATTTAAAAATTTTTATAAAATTCTTCGCAAGAATTAAATTATTTTGAATTCTTTCATGAATAATAAAATTCGTAGCAGAAATTGAATTTATTAGCAGGATAAGAAAAAAGTAAATATTTTTTATGAAAATTAGGAAAAAATCAGGAAAATAAAAAATATGGAATGGAAATTTTGTCAATTTTGCGAAGTGAATAAAACGAGTTTTTTTTCTTTTTTTTGACATTAAAAAAAATGAAAATAACCCACAAAAATTAATATTCAAAACAAACAAATGAATGCAGATAATTTGCTAACGGAAAGGAAACTTACGATTATTATAATGTATATTTATGTATATTTATATTTATTATATTTATTCTTTTTTGAACTCAATATGAAAATTTACTATTCAATCGAAAATAACCATTTTTTTATTTTTAATTATAATTGCTAATTAATTAATTACATTTTTAATTATTTAATTAGTATCAGATTTAGTATTCTTTTATTTTTCTGTATTTTCGATTAAGGAAGAGTTTTTTTAATTTTCTATTTTATAAAACTTTTTTTTTCAAATGAAGATGAATTTCGGAAATGCTTCTTTTTAATGAAAGTCACTTTCTAAAATTGTTATTTCTAACAATATTGAATTTCTGCTAATAAATGTAATTTAAATGAATTAATTGTAGCTAAAAATTCTAATGAAATTATAAAAATTGTTTTTGTTATTCACGAGCAATTTAAAAGAAATTTAAAAATAATTAAACTTTTGAAAAAATTACAGAATTTTACAAATTACAATAAAAAAAAATGTTAGAAATCAAAACTTGTTAAAAAATTTATTTTAGTAGTAATACATTCAAAATTTATTTATTTACTTATTCAGTATATAAATATTTATTAAAACATAATGAATTATTTTCAAGAATTTTTAATTAAAAATTTTATCTAAATCATTGTTTTCAATAATTTTTCGAAAATTCTTTGAAAATTCAATTATTTAAATTAAATATTTAAATAAATAAATAAATACAAAAAATTCAATTTTTTTTATAATAATAATTGTAACTGTAAATCTACAAGGTTTTTCTAAAAATTACTAAGGTGAATTACTCAAAATCTTTAACTAAAAATATTCAAAATAATTTATTTTTCAAAATTTATAATGAAACAAATTTTTTAAATTAGTTTCTTAAAAATAGTTTAAAATAATTTTTGAAAGATAATAAATTTTTTAAATACAGTTACATAATTTGAAAATGTCCAAAAAATTGAAATCTACTAAATTTTTTTCAAATAATTGAATTTTTTAAAAGAATTTTTGAAAAATAACAAATTTCTTAATTATACATAGGTACATAATTGGAAAATGTCAAAAAAATTGAAATCTACAACATATTTTTCAAATAATTGAATTTTTTAAAAGAATTTTTGAAAAATATTAATAAACAATCAAGTTTTTTATAAGAATAGTAATTTAGATGAAAACACATTAAGTTTTCAAAATTTGAATAATAAGTCTAAAAAGTCGATTTCTAAACATTTTAATTTACATTTTTTGAAGATAATTAAAGATTAAAAAAATTCTAAGAATTAGTTTTTAGAAACATTATAATATATTTTTTTTTTAAATAATTGGATTTCTTAATTTTAGTATTTTTGGTCAAGTTAAAAAACTAATCAATTTTTTTTAAATGTCCAATTATAAATTTTGAAATTGACTTATTTTTACAAAATTTTAATAATAATTCTAAAAAATCAAATTTTTTGAAAAAATTTAATATTATTTTTGTAAATTTTTGAATTTTTGGAAATATGTAATTAAAAATATTGAATTTAATTTAAAAAATTTATAATAATGAAAAAAATTCTAAGAATTACTTTTTTAAAAAATATTTTGAAATAATTTTTTAAAGCTAATATTTATTATCAAATTTTTATTTGAAGATTTTTTATCAAAATTTTTGAGAATTTAATTATTTTCAAAAATTTGCATTTAAAATTTTTCAAAATTTGATTTTCAAAGATTTTAATGAAATATATCAATTATTTTGATAAAAATACCAATTTTACAAAATTACAATTATTTAACAATTTCTCAATTGTATTTATTTTAAAAATTTAATTATCTTAAAGAAATTATTCAAATCAAAATTGTTGAAAAAATTTGGAAAAAAATGTGAAAGGTTTGATTTATTTTTCACATTAGAAAAATTGAAATAAGTTGCATTTTATACAAAAAAAGTGACATTTTGTTTGCAATTTTTGAAAGAGAAAAGTCGAAAATAGGTGAAAAAAAACTCGCCCTTTTTGAAAATAATCAAAAAAAAATTCAAAAAAGTCATATCCAAGGTCTGTAGTTTAATTTGTTTTTTTCCGAATTCTATTTTAATAATTATTGAAGTTTTCGTTTTTTAAATCTTATTTTTATTATTAAATTTAATTTAATATTATGCTATTAGTTTTTTTTCGAATTTTGTCAAGAATTATCAACTTTCTTTAATTATTTATCTAATTTAAAGTATAAAAGCAATTTTATTAAAATTTAAAAAGGAATTTGAAAAAATATGAGCAGAACAAATATTTCTACTTTTCTATTTGAAAATCGTTTTAATATTTTCTCTTGATTAAAACTAATTAATTAAAATTAATTCTTTAGTTTTAAATTTATGTTTTGAATTTAGAAATTCCTTATTGAAATCAATATTTTTTTCCCTTTTCCGAAAATAATTTTAATAGACTACAAATACATTTCTTGAAATTAAAAATACTCTATTTACAAATTATTTAAATATTTTTTTTCCTTATTTCGAAATTTATAATATTATTGCCAAAGAAATTTGAGCGATCGTTTCCTTCAATGTTTTATAAAACAACAGAGATTCGAAGAAAAATTACTTACAAAAATAATTATATCTAAAACAATAATTTTGTTTAGAAATTTTCTTATTGAAAAAATAAAATTTCGAAAACATATTAAAATTATTTTCTTCTCTAGTTGCAATTATTTTATCTTGAAATAATTTTAGAAATTTAGTGTAGAAATTTTCCTATTGAAAAAATAAAATTTCGAAAACAAATTAAAATTATTTTCTTCTCTATATAGTTGCAATTATTTTATCTTGTATTGTATTTTATTTTTTAAGGTCACTGGATCCCTGGAGAATGTTGACATGGAAATCATTCCCAGTATTTCGGAGAAGGTGGCTGCGAGATCATCGCCAGTGGACTATTCCTTTGAGGATCAAATACAGCAAATGTCAAGTTCATCTCCTCCAACCATCTCCAAATTTTCCACCCAATGAAAGAGAGTGAGTGAGAGAGAGAGACAGAGACAGAGAGAAACAACTTATATTTAACGTCCGTTTTAGCGAAATGACGACAGTTCTCAGGGAATTCCAATCAAGAACTTTGAACATTTCATGAAATTGAGTAATTTATCTTCATATCGAAACCCTGAGATCTTTCTATAATAGAAAATCTTTCAAGACTGTTTCCATCTGTATTTTGACATTTAAATTGTCATTTATATAATGTATAAAAAAAAATGCTCCCAAAAGAGGCATTTTTTATGAAAAAGACTAAGTGTGAATTTTTAAGAAACATTTTAAAAATGCATCCAGTCTTATTAAAAAAGAAAGAAAGAGAAAATTGTTTGATTTGTTTTCGAATTTTTTTTAATAGGATAAAAAATGTATTAATATTGTAAGAATTATTTTTTTTAGATTAGATTTTATAAAAATTTGTATTTTATTGGCTTTGTTCGTGTAGTGACAATATATTTTTTTCCTTTCTTAAATAATTTCTAAAATAGAGTTCAAGATCTTAACATAAATTTGAAAAAGCACGGAAGGCTACAAAGTAGAACGAATAAGTGCATCATGCGTTAATGTCTTCCATTTTTCTCTCAAAAATCTATATTACGGATGTTGTGAAATTATTCAGAATCGTATATCCGCTTTGTTTCCTTAAGAAAACTTATTGTTAGAATATTTTTACTCGACATTTGCATTAGGAATTTTTTTTATCCTTTTACCCCAGAAATGATTTTCGATGACATTTTCTTCTTCAGTAGTTTTTTTTGCAATTTTCGCAAAAACAAAATCTACTTTCCCAATTTTTCAATATTTGATGAAAAATTTCAGAAAATTTGAGAAACATTTTTTGTTATTGAATAAAAAAAAGTGGTTTCTTTTTTTTTACCGTTCTTGGCCAATATATATGAAAAGGAGTTTGACATTTCAGTGAATTTAGAAAACAGGGAAGCAAATAAGGGAAATTCTGACGTCACAGGAGAAATCAATAGGTTACTTGATCCACACACTGGTATCGATGTCTGCTGCCATTTATAAAGCTATCCGCAAAAACCCATATCGACATTTCACATGACTCATCTTTTCAATACTCTAATCGTCATGGCAAATATAAATTCTCTTCGTTCCAAAAAAAAAAAAAAATATTCCCACGATCAAAAAAAATATTTACTAAAACTCTCATCTCTATTCTAGTAGTAGTTTATTTTCTCTCTCTCTTAAAAAAAAGATTATATGTGACAATTTAACAGCTTCTGACGTCTTCATCTCTCGACTATTTCAATATTTGAAGAGGTTTCATTCCAGGAAGAAAGAAAACCGAATCAAGTCAATTACAACTCAATTTCTTCAACTTTACAAGTAACATTTTTTTTCTACATTTTTCTTCTTTTTAACAAATTTTTTTTTCTCTAAAAAATTTACAATTTTGTGGGATTTTTTTCTATTTCCAAAAATTTGCTTCCCTTCTAAAAATAGAAAAAAAAAATTGAAAAAAAAGTTTGGGGTAGAAAAGTTACAAAATATCAGTTCCAATGATTGTTCGTGACAAAAGCACAGAAGTTCCAAGAATAATTGATTACAAATGTAAATTAAATAAAAGTTTCAAAATATTTTTTTGTTGTGTCAGGGAACCTGACACAAACTTTTGTTGTGTCGAAAGACCTGGAAAATTTTTAGTTAAGAAATCAAATAATTGTAAATTTCAAAAGGTTTTAAACTAAAATTTTTGAGGTTTTAAATAATTTTAGTTTCAAACCTGAAAAAAATTGTAATAAAATTCTTCGAATCAATACAATTGTTTTTAAAAATTTTAATAAAATTCTTCGCAAGGAATCAATTATTTTCAAAAAAATTAGACAAAATTCGTTATAAAAACTCAATTATTCTGAATAGAATTTTAATTAAATTAAAATTACATTTTTCATCAAATTTAATAAACTTTTAAAAATTTTAATTAAATTTTTCGAAAGAATTAAATTTTTTTAAAATATTCTTTATAAGAATCTAATTATTTTCAGTGCAATTTTTATTAAATTCCTCGGAAAGAATTTAATTATTTTCAAAAATTTTAATCAAATTCTGCGAAATAATTCAATTATTTTCGAAAATATTTTTGAAACAATTCTATACAAGAGTTAAATTATTTCAGATTCAAAATTATAACTGTCACAAAAATAGTAACATCTTTTTTAACAAAACCGTTATTTTTGAAAATGAAAAAAAAATTAACTTTATTAATGCAAAATTATGGAAAATAAAATAATTTCTAAATTTTTCTTGCAATAATCACAAAATTTATTTTCTAAATCTGAATTAATAAAAAATTCGAATTAATTAGAACAAAAATGATGTGAAATTTCTAAAAATTATTTCTTAGTTCTAAATAAAACAAGACATTGAAATAAATAAAATCTAGTCTTTCTTAGAAAATAAATAACATTCTCTGTTATTTTACATTAATTAAATTATGTTTTTTAATTCAAAATAAAGTTGAATTATTTTTCGTTATTACTTAATGTTCAAAACATTTAATTATAATTACATTAATTTTAAAATTCAAATCGTTGAAAAAGAAATATTATTAAAAAAATTAGGAAACGAAGAAGCAATTAGAAATATCCAAACATCCGGAATACAACGATTATTATAATTAATTAATTGAAAATTTTCGAAATAATTGAAATTTCCTAAAATTTTATTGCAAATAATTGAATTTTTAAAGAATTTTATTCAAATTTTTTCAGGGTTGCCACGCTTTTGCTCATTTCAAATTCCCTAAATTTTCCAGGTAAAAAAACGGAATTTTTCCAGGCTTTTAAAACTTCATTTATATTTTACAAAATTAAATAATTAGTCATTATAATTTTTCCATAAGAATTAAGATTTTCAAAAATTTCAAATTCAAACCTTTTTGAAATTAAACAACTTATAATATAATTAAAAATGACCGACTGATAAAATCATTATTTTATATTAAAAGATTTTTTTTATTAGGTACTTATAGCGTCACAAAATAATTAAAAATTAAAAATCTTTTGACGAATAATTTTAATTTTCGAGAAATTATGTTAAAATTGTATTAAAAATAATTGAGAATCTCTGTAAAAAATTTGGTTAAATTGATAAAAATTTTTGAAAATAATTGAAATTTTGCCAAGAATTTTATTAAAATTTTTGAAAATAATTGAATTTTGGAGAAAAATTTTATTATTTATAAAGATAATTGAAATTTTAAAGAGAATTTTTTTAAACTTTCGACCATAATTGAATTTTTGCGAAGAATTTTATTATACTTTTGAAAATAATTTAATTCTTGAGACGAATATTTTATTAAAATTTCTTTTTAAACAATTGAATTCTTTTGTGAAATTTTTATTAAAATAGTAGAGATTGAAAATATGAAATTAATTAAATTTCTACGTAGAATTTTATTAAAATTATTTTTAAAAAAAATTTAATTGTTAAAAAGAATTTCATAAAAATTTTTGGAAAATAATTTAATTCTTTCAAGAAATTGAATTTCTTTGTTGAATTTTAATAAAATTTTTAAGAATAATTACATTTTTCGAGAAATTCTCTTAAAATTGTACTAAAAATAATTGAAATTCTGCGATGAGTTTTATTATGTGTGAAAATAATTGAATCTCTTTAGAAAATTTGATTATTTATCGAAAATAATTGAATTATTGCGAAGAAATTTTGAAAATAATCGAATAATCAAAAAACGTCTTGAGAAAAAAAACTTTTTGAAACTTTTGGCTTGGAACTTTTGATTTTGATTTCCACTGAAAAAAAAATTCAAATTCAAAAATATGATTATAAGTAAGTTTAAAAATTGAAAAATTGACAGCTATTTTACATAAAGTATGGAAATAATTTTTATTGGAAACAATTAAATGGCTATTAATTGAATTTTGAATTTCAGTAAATTGAAATTTGTAATAAAATCATTATTAACTAGTTGCTTCATCACGTATTTCTGAAACAAAACTTTATTCCAAACTCGAGGCAATCACTGTACCATAATAAACTAGCCTTCAGTGAATTCAGATCGATGTTATGCTTGCGTAGGAAGTCTATTTTGATCATTATTGGAATGCAACAACAATTCACGACTATATCTCCAGTATCATTAGCTGATTTTGTTTGGAATGACCAAACGTCCCTATTGCAATGTCTCCACTTTTCACATATACACAGCAATTTTCTCTCCTAAAGAACAATTTTCTTTCATTTCTCTACACTATTCACTCCTATATCAAATTCAAATAATTTTCTCTTTAATTATCCTTTCAATTATTATATTCTTTTTTCATCGAATCTCAAAAACTCATCGCATTCAATTTGTTGAGTCAAATTAATTTTATCCAATTTGTGATAACAATAGAAAATTTTTGAATAAAATTAATTTTAGTATAAAATTAATTTTTGTATAAAATTAATTTTTGTATAAAATTAATTGTATGCAATTAATTTTTGTATAAAATTAATTGTATGAAATTAATTTTTATATAAAATTAATTTTTGTTCGACTAAAATGAATTCTTTTTAAGTTTTTAAATCGTAATAATAGCGAGTAAGCGAAAAAAAAATTGCGAAAGAAAATATTGATTGTAACGAATATTGAGCCTGACAGTAAAACCTACAAATAGAGGGACAAAAAAATATGCAAAATTCGAAAAAACAAGATTCGATTTTATTCAAAGAATATCTGCCACTGGCTTTTATAAAGCAAACAGTGCATATAGACTGCAATTTTGTACAGTTTTTGTATTTAAAACTCGCGGATCGTTTAAACCATACAAAGAGTGACTATAAAATGCGATAAAAATACATTTTTTCGTCAAAAAAAGAAAAAAAATGTTCATATCACAATGTCATAAATTTTATGTTTTTAAACATTACAAAAGCAAACAATATGTTTAAAACAATGTTGCCCCATTTTTATTATACTTTTTCACTATGAAAGCAATTATTAAATAATAAATTCAGTTTTTAAAAAGTAAGCATTTAATTTAGTTAACTTTTTAAGAAAAGGGCAACATTTTTATTTCGCTTTTTTGTAATTTTATTTTCTTTTTTCAAAAATATTTATTGGTTTTTATTTTATTTATCGTTCATTAATTAATAGAATTGTAATATTAATTATTCTTTTACCAAAATAAACTGTTATATTTATCTCGTTAATAAAATTGAAATTAAATATTTCCATATATTTTATGTAAAATAAATTTT